TTCCAGAATTATAAGGTAGGCCCCATGGTGTAGTAACCCATTTCAAAATCAAGGATTAGGGAAGAAAATAAGTCTATGTATGTATGTATGTATGTATGTATGTATGTATGTATGTATACCCTGTCTGTGTTTGGGCAATTCCTGGCACGGCTATGTATAGACTATTTACCCGTGCTTCTGAATGGCTCAGTTGAGAGAAACGCTTTGACAGCTTAGTGTTTGCAGTGTAGTCTCAGAGAGTATCAGGAGACTCAAAAAATGAGTAGATATTCAGGAGAAACCTGTTGAAGGATTTGCTTAGTTGAGAAGCCTGCTTGTTCTTTGAGAGTAAGCCAGTCTGTTCCCCAGCTGGTCCTCAGAAGCCTTCTGGGTTAGATTTACTTTGGGAAGAAATTCTTTGTTCAAATTCAGATCAAAGAAAACATACACAAAGTAAAGGCACAGATCAGTGTTATAAACTGTGTTTGAACCCCAAGAACTTGGCAGAGCATCGGTTTCTTATTCTTAAGGCAAGAAAGACTTCGTTACATCCCAAATGTGGTCAGGAATGTTGAAGATATGTTAACGTGGGTATGTTGCATCCTCTGTATTTTCATGGGATACATCTACTGCAAGAAGTGTGACCAGCTTTGTATTTGACCTAAATAACAAAAAATTCACACACATTTCTTGCATAGCTGAGTAAATTCAGACAAAGTGCCTTTTTAAAATCTGGTGTTCCCTGACTTTTTTTTTTTAACTTTAGCTTTGTCTCAAATACAGCTTTCTGCATTTATTTTCCTTTTGGAAGGAAAAGGGCATCCTTCCTTGCCTATACACACAAAAAGCTAACTTGAGCAGATTAAATAAATTGCAAGCTTCAGCAGCTTTGCCAGCAAATTTTGGAAGGTCCTTATGCTCTACTAGGCCTACAGGCTAGCGGTATTTGATAGCTTCCAATCCCTTTGTCTTCTCAGACGAACAAATATGTCTGTATGTTTTAATAAAGGCATTTTACTTAAACTGTGATGACCAAATACTTACTGAAATACAGATTAATTTTTTTTCAGACATCGTAAGGCTTTAATTAGTAATCTTGTCCAAAAAGTCAAGCCTGAAGTAAGTTTTTGACTGAGGTGATGCAGAGATTAGATACTATATTGTAACTCTTCCTTCCAAAACATCTTTCATTGCAATTGGTAGATTGAATATGTGTTGGGCTCAATACAAAGGCTTTTCCCTCTTTTATATGGTGCTGGTGAGAATCTGAACTCCTCAGTGTTCACCAAAAAGTGCTCCTATTGGTTAACAGAATGTTATTGAATTTCACCAGTTAATTGGTTCCTAATTTAAAAGTAGGAGAGAAAATTTGCAAACTTTACAGGAATATTTCATGTGGAGTGAACATTGAACTCGGTCTCTGCATTGTGACCAGTTATTACCGGAATGCTGTCTCTCATTTTTCTGAGCAGTTCTTATGGGATATAGGTATGATAATAAGATGTTTGATAGTGAAAGGTAGGGGTTAAGCAGGATCCAGCATGTATTTGGGTTTGGGGTACCCTTATCTCATGTTTAAGCTGTTGTAGTAAATAGCTTGTTTTTTCATTATCTTTGAGCTGCCCTTTCTCTACTGATTTTCGGTTCTTCTAATTAGAAGGGTATTTTAGTGAAAAGAGCGATCTCAGACCTTTGTGAAATTTTCTGCTAGTACAAATAATGGTAAATCTGAAATCACTTATTAGACAAGAAGTTGTTATGGCAACTATAAGATGGTTGGCTAATCAGAGAGTGAGATCAGTTTTTATTTACAAGCGTAATGAGCAATTAAGTTTGAGCAGCTGTCAGACTTGGAAAGTGATTAAAGTTCAGCAAACAACCCAAATGGGTCAGTGTTCAGTTCTGGTCGTTTTCTGACACTGCAGCTTGATCATGTGTGGGTTTTACCAACTATAATTAAAACTGCCTTTAAAATCCCCATTTATGCCAATGACTTGGCATAGCCAGTGAGTAATGAAAAATCCCTCTTCCAACCAGGTTCCGTAAAGCGTACTGGCCTTGAGTCTTGCAGCAGCTAATGAGGGACTTCACATGTAGCATCCCTTAAAGCAAGCCTTAGTTTGCATGCTGGCTTGCAGAATCGTCTCCAGGCAGTTGATGATCACCAGGAGAGAGCTGAAACGGTGCAGCCTCACTCAGGCAAGCTTTACACCTCCAAAGGGCACTCTTTCATAAAAGGCATCATTATACTGTTGTTCGTTGCTTAGGAAGCTGCTGCTGGGCTCAGAGGAAGGCTGTGCACTGTGTAGAGGAATGTAAAACCCAAAAGAAGTTGAGAAGGTCTTGATTCACCCAGAAACATAAGGGAAGGCTCAGGAGAGGCTAACCTCAGCAGGAGCTGGTGAAGCTCAGTCGTTCAGCTGGCCACCAGTGAACAGGGCCAGGCTAGCACCTCTGCTGGTGCTCATTGCTTTCCCAAGCAGGAGCAGTGATGCTAACATATATCAGCGTCACACTGCCAAAAAGGCTTCAGAAGGTTTTGTATTCGTTATTCAGTATCCTGTGACTTCTCCTGTGTTGTTGATTAACAAGCTGTAAGCAGCAAAGACCAGAGAGCTGGCTCGCTGTAGATTCCAGAAGATCGCGTATGTTTGCATTGGGAAAGTTACCTTCCCATCCATACCTTGCAGTTTTCAGAATGCACTAGATCAGCCCTTTTAATTTGTTAGGGTTTTCTTCCCTGCTACCATGCTTAAAATCCATATTCTAATTAGAATTTTAACCGTCCAAGGACCAATATAGTTATTTTCCAAAAGTATGCTGCAGTCCCTTGATAGATTTACATTGTTTTTAATTTTACCACACTAACAGTATCGTGTAATATAGGCGATTGCAGTGGAATGTGAAATATATTGGGACGGTTCCTGACCTGAAGAATTTACAAAGTCATATAACCAGGTAACACCAGTTGGTGAGCAGGGACTTAGGAGAAAGTTAAAATGACAGTCTCAGAAATAGGCATTTGCATACTTGATCTAAACTTCTGGTATTTACATTTTCTATTTATCAGTCTTTTTCAGGCTTGTCTACAGCAGTGGCACATGAGAAACAGGGTTGTAGAAATGGAGCAGAATTTTTAGTAGGGTTATTAGAGACTAAGAAATCCGCATTTCTCAGCCCATAAAAGACAGAATTTCACACATGTATCTTGTTATTATTGTTGCCTGATTTGCACTCAGGTTTCCTGAGAAGATTGGAAGTGTTTACCTGCTAAGCTTTTACAGGCATAGCAAGCTTGGCTTGTTGAAATGGGCAGCTGGCAATAGAGCCCTTCAATGACGGCAGCATTGGCAAAAGTGGTTCCTGTTACCTAGTGGAACAGGAGCCAGCTCTCCCTGCTTCCCGTGGTGAAAACGCTTAGAGTATTCCAGACATTGGTCTTCAAGCCGTGGGGATATTGGAGAGTTTGAATGGGATCGGAACAAGCTGCCTCTTGCACAGGCCTGCTGTCATCTTGTAGAGCAGTGTGAGGGAAGGCTGCAAAATTGAAAAGCACGCTGAAGCATTTCACACTAGAAAACGTGAGCTGTCAGCCCTCAAAAGCTGCAGACTCCTCGCTGTCTAATTCACTTCTATGTGTGGGATAATCGTGGTTTTCCAGAGGACACAGCTCTCACCTTCGTAGTTGTAGATATAGAGGAGAGCTGGGTGTGAACACGCACATGAAATACATCTACTGCAAGAGTTGTTTCTTTTCATTCGTAACACATTATAATTATTGTGCATGAACATTTACTTAAGAATCTGCTGTAGTGTGCTGCAAGTAAGGAGTAAATGTGTGCTTGTGACTACTTTCTTTGTAGGAATGAAAGATTTTGCCTTTTTCGCCCTCACTAAATGTAATTAGTGTTTTCAGTTTATTTTAAGCATGTGAGAATGTGGGCAATTGACTTTAGGAGTAACCTGCAAAAAAATAATATAAATAATACTAATGTAGGAGCCTGATGGATTATCTTTGCCTTATAGTTTGTTTGCAGCAAACAACATGTTACAAGTGAGTGGGTGGGAGGGGGAGTTTTAAATATACGGGGATGGATTTTTAGAGTTTGCAGCTGATGTGGATTAAAAATTCTTAGAACATTTCATCCATGAAAGGCAATTAGTTTTGTTTTATGAATATGAAAAGCACGTAGCTTGTAAGTACTGGAGTGAAGTCCCAAGTGAGTTATTAGAACTTGCTTTTCTCATGTAGTACAAAATTAGCCATCAAGAGCTGATAGATTTCAAATATAGCTCACTGACACACTGATCATCCATAACTTTCCGTAAAGACGTTTTTTCGGTCACACCTGTAATTACTGGATGCTGTTGAAGTCCTGAACAGGGGCAGCTAGCAGCTAGTCACAGATCAGGACACCTCCTTGCTCTTGATGGTGCTTGCAATGTTTTGTAATAGTAATACCGCGCTGCCTGCAATTCTGGGTGGTGAAACCGCATCCGGATGTGTAGAATATTCCTCTTTCTCTTACCTCCTGGTAGTATCTTACTGGACAAAAACATTCTTCTGCTTTGTATGTGTGGTATTGTTTTTCTGCCTTTTTGGGGGAATGTTTAAAAAGCAGTTTGCAACAGTTTATTTAAGGAACTGTCATACTGGTGTTCTTATAAATAACAAACCTTCTGTAATAAAGCCTTTAGGCACGTTTGCTAACAAAGAAGTTGAGAAATAAATCACTACTTTCAGCTGCCCCTTTTCTCAGATCTGGAAGTTAAGGGTGATAAAGTGAATGGAGTCTGCATATTTTTTAGCGTTGTTTTTTGGCTTTAGGACAAATTCATGTATATGTATTAGTTGTTTAAGAGCTTTTTTGAAGATTGGGGTTGTCTGTAGTGAGTTGCCTTTCTGGTGTAAAAGCTTCTCGGCTACTAAGAGGTATTTGGAAGAAGACTACTTTTTCAGCTTCCTTGGATAGTTTTTTTGTCTAACTTTTTTTTTAAGAACTGGCATTCTTCATCCAGTAGGTCAGTGTTTTAATACCTGAGATTCTCAGTTAAGGAACTGGTAGCCCAAATTAAGGAACAGGGTACCAACACCCCCCCCCCCCAATCATCCCAATTTCTTGGTGAAATTAAAACAATATAAAACCCCTTTGGCAAGTAGTAGGCTATAATCCAATTTCTGCCTATGGAAAAGACTAAATGTTGGTGCAATTTGGTATAGAGCTCCGGCTGCCTTACTGTAGTCAGAGGAGGAGGAGATTCGGGTAGCCATCCCAGTTCACTGACCTGTTTAAACAACACTGTGCTGATAAGTTCTCCCATACGGAGTTAATATATACATATTCTCCCATACAGTCGCAGGCAAATTCAGAAAAGGCAAATCTGAGGGAGAAATTTTGTTACTCGGAAGGTTTTAATTTATGCTTTCGTGCCTCTCATCTAGAGAAGAAAGGTGGACACTCGGAGTGTGATAATATTAGACTACTGGAAGTGTTGCCTAATAGATCAGAGGTTTGTGAAGTGGCAAGCCATCATCTCCACCAATACAACAGTACAAGGGGACAGTCCATCATGAGATGTGACATGTCATAAAAGAACATCGATTTGTTTCTCCCCTGCAGTAAATCTCACGGTAAACATCTCCATTCGAATCCATTAAAATCCATTAATACAGGATGTATATTTTAAAACTGCTTTGACATTTCTGATTGAAGGCTTTAGCATATTGATTTCTGACCTGAGCAGGTCTTTGTTTGTCAATCGTAAAGCAGCACCATACTTTGAATATCGTGGGTTTGCAGTGAGATGGGAATCTGGCCAAGGTCACTGCTGAAAGAGGTGAAGAAACGTGTGGTGCAGGCTGAGTTTTAGGGAAAAGTGCCTCCGAGCACTTGGCTTGATGAGCTGGGGAGCTGCTGCCATATGACCTAGCTCTGAAGGACAGCTATTTACAGTACATGGGTCAACACGTTAGCTTTAATGAGTGTACAGTACATAGGAGAAAGGCGGTTTTTTGTGGTTTGTTTTTAAAGCTGTGTAGAATGAAGAAGTCAAAGGGATTTCACTTTGTTTTAAAGAAGCAGTAGTCTCTGCCATCTGTTTTGAAAGAGAGCAACTTATATACACGTCATTCAGCAGAGCATACTGTCAGCAGCAACAATTTCTGCTGATGGGGGAACTTCAGTGAGAAGATTCATAACAAAAGTCTTCATCGTATAGAAACACACCATTCTGCTTGGGATCCAGATTCCAAATGCTTTTGAAGACTATGACTAAACCATCATTTGTGCCTGAGATAAAGGACATCTGAGTACAGAAACTGCTTGGACTAGGCTACCCTGTCAGGCCATTTCGGTACAACACAATAGTGCAGGACTGGAAGGTCCATCTGGTTTTACAACCTGCAAATGTATCGAAACCAATGAGTTGTGGTAAACTAAGTGAGTGAGGCTGATACGCTCCCTTGCCTACTCTGATATTGCTATAAGGATTTCTGGTTTGTTTTTCCTTTTGTTCAGGTGAAGCTCTGAGTATGAAAGAAAAATCTTCTTTGTTGTACAGCTGTTAATATTTGTTTAATATGTATTAATCCATTCACCTTTTTTCTGAAACTGCTGCGCAGCTATGCTCACTTAATCAGCTATAGTTTCCTGCTCCTGAGAGGCTGAATCTGTGGGAGACGTTGGGCGATGTCTTTTCTGTAGCATATCTAAATCACAGGAATGTTGTAGCATAACTGTGAATGCCATGTGGTCTTTAAAAAGGCACAGTAATTGCATATTACATATTCATGATTGCAGGTAAGTGTGATCTGGAAAGCAGGTTTGAAGAGGTTTGGAGTTTGGGCAGCAGCTTCAAAAAGAAGAAAACCTGAAAGTTAATTGGAGAAAATGGCAGTTTATCACCGTGCCTTCAAACAGCATTCAAGCTAAATACTCATTATGATTACACATCTGCATGTCCACAGCTTCTCTTGTTATTTTATTTTAACGTAGACTTGGCAGTCATTATAAACTATGATTATTCATTTATTCAGCCCCAGAAACTTTGGCAAAACAATCAGTGGAGGATAGATGACTTCATCCCAAAGCATCTTGATGTAAGCATAGCTAAAATCAATTGAAAAGTCACAACGGTCAAAGTGGATGACCAGTGCCGCAACAGTACAACCCAAATCACGTTTTTCTGTAATGCCTTGCAGTTCAGATTGAGCCCGTTTGTTCTAGCTGACTGACTTTTTCTTTGGAAGTGTGAAGATCAGCATTTTCAGAGCAGTGTGAAATAAGGAATGTAGAAAAAGGACTTGGAGCAGTGAGGTGGCTAATTGAAAAATGCTATTGGAGCTGTGCTTTCCAACAAAGCAACTGGCAGGTTTTTATGAGGAAGTCACTTCAGAGTTGAGTTTTGATCTTGAATTTTGAATGAGTCACATTTATTTTTTTAATAGCAGTATTTTGATGAAAAAACCTCCTGTTGGTTACGATAATGTCTAAGTGTCCATGACTGTCTTTCTAAAAGCAAATATAGAGAAAGCAAGAATAGACTGTTAGGTCCAGCAGTATGCAAGTGTGTTATTCTAGTGTATCTCTGCCTTCTAAGCGAAATGTCTTGGACTCAGCAACAATGCGAACGCTGCGGATCTTTAGTCTCATCTTCATAATGCCTGGACAGCTGAAATAGTTTCCATGGCCTCTGTACAGTCTTTCCTCAGGTCTTATTGGCGGTGCTGTGCAGGTCATTGATGATTTGTTGAATTCAAGAGAGACAACTGCGGTCACAAAACGTAATGATGCTTTAAAGCAAAACAATTCTATAAGCTACAGCTCAGAGGAGAGATGTTATCGTCTCATTCAATAGCTTATCTTCTCTTGTGAGCTATCCTGTGTGTTTTGCACTGCCTTGCAAAACTCTTTCTTTTTTTCCTGAAAGACCTTTGTCCATTCTATAAAAGCGTTTTGCATTTGACCTCAGCTGATAGCTCTTGCTTCTGAGAGAGCTCCACTGTGCCAAAGGGAGGGGGACCAGTACGATGGAAGTAAAGCCTGCTAATACTGTGGCTGCTTCTGTTCCCTGTCACCTATTATGCAGCGTGAAAATATAACACAACTGACTGTGTGATTTTCTAATTTCAGTCTTGTAGCACAGCTGGTAGGCAGGTGGACTGTTAAGAGGCAAGACAAAGATCTAAGATCCACAACCTTCTGAAGTTCCACGTAAAAAAAACCCAAACCATGATGTTTTATGCTGCTTGAACACCAAATGCTGTTGGAGGGGAGAAATGTGGAATCAGAACTTTCTTGCTTTGGGATCAATACGGTGCTTTGGTTTATGCATGTTTCTTGCATAAACAGAAGGTCATTTTTCATGTGTAATTCTTCCCAAACGTATGAATTGAGAGTTTCTGAAGCAACATCTGGAGAAGTCCCAAGAGAGAAAACTGTGATTTCTCTCAACACAAAGATCTGTTCATTCACGAGATTCTGGTATTCAGACAGAAAACAGGGCAGTTCTCCCATTTTCATTTAATGTGATTTCTAGCTAGTGCGACATTTAACTTTGACTTTTGCCTTTTTCTTCCAAGAACATTATGCAGCACCACAATCACTTATTGGTACTTACAGATAGACCTTTCAGGGAGATTTTTACCCTGACTGTGTCTGCTGTCATCATTCAGCTAGAGTAGCTGTTCTCCGTGCGTCCAGCAGTTAGTTTTTCAGTCTCAGCTGCATAAACATGCATATGGCATGGGAGTTAAACAGCATACAGACTTCAACGTGGGCAGTCACAATCCTAATGAAAGTCTTCAGGCTGTCTCCATCGCCAGGTTCAGTATTATGGTCAGAGATGAGCATTGGAACAGGGAAGCAGGGAAGAGCGAAGAGTTCTGCTTTATCTTACCCGTGTCTGAAGAAAGTAAAATTTTAAAGTGTGTCATCAACATTGAACTGTAACTTTGAAACAAAATTAGTATGGACTGTAAAGGGCTATGAGAGTAGCTTCTCGAGGATGGCCAGTGTTTGCATTTCTTTGTTAGGTGACTTTTGAGCTGGGTTCAAGATGGGTGGTAAAAGTTCTTCTGTTTTTTTTTCCTGCATGTAAAAGAGCATTCCTGTCCTGCCCTGCACAGCCTGTTTATTACGTGGCGGTCACACAGGCATCTCTGACTTGATTCACTTGTGGTGACATCTCTCAGGTCAGAGCAGAGGGAAGAGGCTTGGCTGGGAGGGGTGTGCTCCGAGGCTGTTTACACTGAAAACTTTACGCTACTGAGCAGCGCCTTCTAAATGCCATCAAATATACACGATGTCAGTGTGAGCGGGGAAATACTGATACTGCCATTTGTCAGAGTGTGGAAATGTGGCCACAAGAGTTAGAGCTCAGAGGGAAGGTGTGAATGAAAAAATAGCACAATTTTTTCTCCTTCTCTTTGCAGCCTAGAGATAAGCTTATGCTTGCGTGTGCATATGCAGTGTCCAAGGTCTGCAGCGTGTCAGGCGTGGAGTGCCAGATTGTCTTTCTTTCTACCAGAACATTTATGCTTTAATTTGGGAAACGTGGTGGGAACCGATAGCATCTTGTTTCTGAGAGAGACTTTCTGATAATCTCGCTGGTGGTATCATGTCTCTCTGTGAGACACTTAACTCCTGGTCCCTGCTGCGGTGACGAAGTCAGCAGTAACACGGCGCTTGGACTTGCTCTCGGGTCAGAAGCTGTGCAAGGCGCCCTTGGCACCCAGGCTGGGAGTTGCCAGCCCTTTTGTTACGCAATTAAACTATACCATAAACTCTTCAGTTCACTGAGGGGAGAGGCAGGAGGGAGTCGTACTCATTGCCTTTTTCCTTGTCTGATTTAACATTTCTTATGTCACCCTGGAATCCTTTGGTCATGTTGCAGACTCCTTGTGTGAACTAGTGCCATTGAGATGCCTTTTAATGAGCTTGAAAAGGATTGAGGAACGGGTGACTTTTTTAAAGGGTATTTGCATGATTTCCATGCCATTCCTTTGCAGTTCTGTGATAGTTTCCAAAATCAGTTTAATCTTGTCAGTCATATCTACTTGCTGTTTGAGGAGGAGCCTCAGAGAGAGGCACGGCTTCCAAAATGTCCATTAAGTACTGGACAGGTTAATGAGTATTTTTAATTTACTGCACTTTGGATATGTTGGGCAGGGATTTTCTTACCGACGGGTGCAGGCAGAGCTGTTTCACCAGAAATCCAGAATTACAGCCTGCTGCCTTTTGGTTCTAGAAGAGCTCTACAGGCTTTCAATTTATCACAGCATAATACTGTTCTTCAAACAAATCACACGCAAACTCGTATGCCTTCTCTGCAGTCAGTTAACTCCTTTGTAACAGTTGAGAGAGCATTGCAGCAGCAAATCTGGGTCACACACCCTGCAAAGGACAAACGACTACAGATGACATGTGCTTCTGTGCTTTCTGTTGCTGAAGAAGAGACTAAAATTAGCTTCCAACTCTTATTCAAATTAAAAATTGCCCAAGGGGAAAAGAACTAATTCTCAAAAAGACAACTGTTAACGTCTTAAACCCACACAGTCTCAACCACGCGTTACTCCAACTAAAGAACAGAAATGCAAAAATAAAAAGGCAGTAACCAAACTTCCTGGGAAGAAGGGGATTTCGATTTCCCTAGTGTAGCTCAGAAGGGAAATACAAATAAGGTTGCTGGGGACCCCAGACGAATGTTCCAGTGCTACACTCCACACAGTGATGCACTCCACACTCTTCACTCCGCCATCTCCAAAACATCAGTTTAGCTGTGGAGTACTGCCATGTACACATTTTGACAAAATAAACCTTAACTAAATGGGTTTTACAAGACGAATGAATGAATTGGCTGCTAGCACAACTTTGTGCAGGATCAGCGTTTTCCACAATCATTTATAAAAAGTGATTCTAGCAGACCAGAGAGTATGAACGTTGCTAAGTTGCTGCCTGATGCCAAATGCTGTCAAGAACACGCAAATTTGTTAATATAGTTTTAGATTAAGAAAACAAATCATATGCCCAGCTTAAGGAATACTGTCTATTTTAAGGCATAATCTCTTATTTTGCAGCACTGTGCTTAATGCAGCTTTGAGGATCACCTTCTCCAGCAGAGCAGATGTAGTGATTTTTTTAATGTCTCTGAATATTGAGGTTTCTTTCTAATGCTAAATAAAATGTTTTCCTAAGCAACAAGGTCTATATGGAGGTGAAGGCAGATCACATTCTACAGCAATAAAGCCTTATGTACAGTGTAAGAACAAAATGCAACTAATAAGAGTGATTATTACAAGTAGCTGTGCACAAAGATGAATTTCTGTATCCCAGAAAACATTAAACAGCTCTGCCTGCACTCTTCCTTAAGAGAATCCCAGCCTAACATAGCCTAAATGCAGGAAATTAAAAATTCACAATAGCTTGTCCAATATTTATTGGACATTTTGGAAGCCGTGCCTCTCTCTGAGGCTCCTCCTCAAACAGAAAGAGTTTTCATTGCCAAAGTGAGCTCGACCATGAGGTGGTGATGGCTGAAAAAGATCCAGAGGTGAAGATGGCACAGCTGGGAATTTGGCAGCCTCCGTTTCCTCCCCGGTGGGTGAGACACTGTGCAGTGATCTGCGTGCCTTGCAGCACTGCCTTTCTGAATGGGAAGCGAGGCCTGCAAAGAATGATCTCCGGCTCCATAATCTCCTTTTCTATGGTGTCCTCTCCGTTCTGGAGATAGATGGCTGCTTTTCAGCAGTCTCTGCTTAGATTTTGCATAGCTGTCTAGTGTGTCTTGGACTTCTGTAATTACTGTCCTTGGTGGAGCTGCTTTAACCATGATTCTGGTGTAGACAAGTCACTGAAACTTGAATTACCCAGACGTACGGTCTTTCTCTAAATAATGTCCCAAAACTATGGCCTGTGGGCATCTGTATCCTCTGTCACAGTGATAGAAATGTTAATGGGAAAAATATCTTTGGTAAACAGAAAAAGAGCTGTGTGAAGACCTTGGAGCCTGATGTTCTCAAACAAAATCTGCCTTGTTCTGGGGGACAAATTGGGGTCTGATGTAAAGACAGAAGGATAGTTGAAGAAGACTATACCTGTGTTTTTGTTTCTGCTTTAAAATGTTTAAAAGTTGTTGTTTTTCTTGGTTTATTTTACATTTTTTAAATGCTTTTATTTACCTTGTTTACCTTCAAACATTGGATGCCAAGGATCCGTAGGAGAACCTAGACTAATTTAGAGGAGAAGGTTGTGTTGAGCTCGAAGGTCCCCTTTTTAGGTCTCTCTGGTGGCAGGCTTTACGTTCAACTCGATAGCATTTCTTAATATGGGTAGTGTAATGCAGGCAGGGTTTGAATGCTGCAAGTGAGAAGTGTGAAGAATTCAGGGGGTGTTCTAGGCACCACTAGACAGAACTATATTGATTTAGGAGGAAATCCCAAGGAGGAAATAGTTCTTGTCAACTAATTACTTGAAGTTATGGTTGTGCTACTCTTGCAGATGTCTATAAATTAAAGTGCCAACAGTTGGCATCTGCCACTGTCACAGAGCTATAGGTCATCCTTCCTGTAGAATTTGGTCTGATGCCGGAGTGACTTACCTGCCATGCAAATAGTGAGGGAGCATTTGGGGGTCATGAGGAAAGCAGATGGTGCTTGGGAAATACGTACGTAGCCCCAGCATGGTGAGGAGATTGGGGACATAGCGTGGGACAGAGGGAAGCCGTGCCCAGCCCCCTGGCAGGCAGATACTGAGGGACTGCAGTACAGGAGTCAGAGTCCTGGGCAAAAAGAAGTGCCCATGAATGATATCGTAATCTGAACTGTCATGTGCGAAAGGTTTTCATGTGCTGGTGGTTCTTTTCATGCTGAAATTCTGGACTTCCTTGAATTCTGTCTCCAAGTTGCTATCTTTCCTCCCTCAATTCATGTGGAGGCATCATCTACTAAAACAGGGAGGAGGTCATGTTGATTTTGGGGAGATTTTCCTACCTCATAACTTACCGACAATGCAGCATCTGAGAAGTTTAAGTTGGAATTAGCTGACATTTTCCTACTCTCCCAGGAATTTAGGAGTCTTTGAAGAAGAGCCCATCTATGTGGGCTGAAGGTAATGAGCTTGAGGGATAATTGATTCTGTCTGGAAACCTCTATGCTGATCCCTAAAACCAGGAGGGAAGGTTTGACATTACTTGCAGTCAGTGGGATTTTTTTTTTTCCCCTATCTTTTTTTTACTGGATAGTTTCAACTCAGAGTAACTGAAGATGGATTGAACTATAGTACCTAATCAAGAAGATTTGAAAAGATTTCTTTTTCTTTACTTTACAGAAAAGGCCACAGATGGCTCCCTGCAGAGTGAAGACTGGACCCTTAACATGGAGATCTGTGACATTATCAATGAGACAGAAGAAGGGTATGTGCTATTTCAGCAAATGTTGAAAGGTTCATGAACACAATCTTCATCCAGTCTTACTCAGCATGTGAGGAGGTGCAGAGAGTCTGGGAGCAGATGCTCATAGTTTGAATGCAGTTTGTATACGAGTTGCTTAGTTTTCCTGCTCCTTAGACATTTCAGAAAACTACTGTATGATGCAGCACTTTCTGTGGTCGGTCTCTGCTTGGGAGGGCTGGCATGAAAAAGGTGTTGTTGGAGAGGGTACCGAGTTTGTACTTCTGGGGTTCTTGTCTTCAGCAGATGTATCGCTTTGCAGTGCTGCAATGTGAGTAATTCCAGCAATTGAACAGAGAGCTTCTCTGATACATCTCCTTTAGCATCAGAAAAGCTGTGCTGCTTGAAGTTTGCAGGAGAACTGACCACTGGTCTTATGCCCTGGGCTTTTTTATGAGCGGCTGTCAGTCTTTCCTGCTTGATCAACATCCTGCCTTTTTGAAGGCCTTGGGCATTGCTCTGGTCTTGACTTCTGTGATATCTTGTCTCCTTATATAATTCTACATGACCCTAGTTTGGTTGTAGTCAAGTAATCTGAAGTTAACACACGTGCTTATGTCCAGCTGGAAATTGTAAAGGATTCTTTTTCCCACAGTATATGGCATGTGAAAAGCACGTCTGAACTGTCTTTTAAAAATGGTATGTTTCTCCTTCAGTCCAAAGGATGCCATTCGAGCACTGAAGAAGAGGCTGAATGGAAATAAGAATTACAGAGAGGTCATGCTGGCGCTGACGGTGAGTGGGGACAGCTGGAATGCCTCAAAAGGGCAGAACCCTTTTCTTTTGTCATTTTCCTTTTCCTGGCACTCTCTTGAATGTACACAGTATTTGCATTAACAGCCACTGCTCTGCCCTTTTCTTCTCTTCAGTTGCCTCCTCAGTTCCTTGGGGAGAGTTGCTGGAAGCTTTGCATAGCATTTTTCTGACTCAGTTGGTTTCTACATGTTTTGGGGCTCTTATTCATTCCAAGTATTGACTGAGGAAAGTTAAAGTAGCCCAAATGGTTCTGTGTACCCTTTGGGGCTTTCCCTTCTACTCTCATCTTCCTGTGTCCAACCATTTCCCCACTCCAAGGCAACAGCTGTGGGCATATCTACAAGTGGGGATGATGAACTTGCCTTACTTTCAGCTTCCTAGGTAGCTGATGCACAATTTTCCATGTGAGTGGATCTCTGTAGAAGACTCACATTAATTTATGCTGGTCTAATTCCACTCAGTAAAGTGTAAATTATAGTCTGTGCATTTAGGCAGCACTGCTAAGGTGTGAGATAATTTGCCAGTGATCTTTCTTACAGTGAACTTTCTTACTGATGACTGTAGCTAGGGGTTTCCTGGGTAATGCAGTGCTCTTGAAGGTGTGGTGCTGGGCAGGCTCTGCGCCACAGCAGTCTGAGCAATGAGCAGCAGTAACTAGATCGAGTTCTACAGCTATGGGTAGGTGATCTGTATGATTCTTTCACAGAGCTCTTGTTGCATCTCCCTGATGAAGCGTGACTGTACTTTCTGTCTTTTTGCCATTTCCTATCCTGGATTGTCATTTTGACAGATTACCAAAGACCAAACCATGAGATTATCCATTGTGCAGGAAAGAGCGAAATTCATCAGGAATGAGTCCGTGTCATCAGGGCTGATGAAAGTAGCTGAAGTAGGAGAGTAATTACAGACTCCTCAGATACAGAGTCGCAGTGGTTATTAGGCATGGCTGTAAGGAGAAGTGACGCATTGGATTTATCTCCATGCTAATCATGTTCTTCAGAGAAAAATCAACAGCTGTTCTTCCATGGCAGTTGAATGGCAAGTGGAAGGTGCCTCTAGCTAGGTTGCAGGGGGAAAATGTCTCAAAGTATAACCTGTCAGAGCATTCACAAGGGAGTGTTTTGAATGAGTGAAGATCATTCACCTGAATTCCCAACTCTAAAACATGGCTTGTAGCTCAGAGCAACCGGGTCCAGCTGTGTTCCAGGTACATAGAAAATGGTGGAGTGCCACAGCATGATAATATCTCACTGTGACAGGATGTCCTCTGTCTTACCTGCTTTTGAGGTGATGCTGTATACTTAGCTGTTTGGCTGCGCAGGTTGGAAAGTTCTGCTTTGAAGAGAAAGAAACTTTATATTTCTTTACCTTGAAAACAGGCAAAGGTAGATCACAAAAGTGCCCGATATGTTAATTGTGGGTGAGGTACATCTAAATGTGTCTGTAGAGAGGAAGCTTTTTGGTAAAATTGGGGAAGAAAAGAAGAATTAAGAGTGTAAGTGTAATTTCTCCTCTATCTTCTCTCCCTCCCATAAAAAGCTTTAAAATAAATTAAAAAAAAAAAACCCACAATTGGAAACCAACCACATAGGTGCTGTGTGTGTGATCAAGCTTTGCTCCAACAATGAATGTTTTTCTGTGTGTGTGTAGGTGTTGGAGACCTGTGTGAAGAACTGTGGCCATCGCTTTCATGTCTTAGTGGCAAACCGTGACTTCATAGATGGTGTCCTGGTGAAAATCATCTCGCCCAAGAATAATCCCCCCACTATTGTCCAGGATAAAGTACTAGCGCTGATTCAGGTACACAGCTTGTCTCTGCTTCCATATGTTGCTGCCTGAAATAAGGACTGTCTGCTTCAGTGCTACGCATCGCTAAACATGCTGTCATCATTAAAAATGTGGCAAGTTTTTTGTATGTAAAAACAAACAATATATCCAGATTGGCAGGGAAGAGCAGACATGCACACACATAGATATTTTATCCAGGTAGAAATGTCTGGATTCTTGTTAGAGAAGTACCGCTCTACTCTAAAACAAGAGGACTTAATAAATGATAAATGGATGGCTTTGCAATTTAACAGTCACATCTAGAAGCTGGAGACCTACTTCTGTGATGGACTTGTCATCTGAGACCAGGAAATTTTAGAGGATTGCGCTTTCACTGTCAGTTGCAGAACACTTACCTTTCTGTGTCTGTTTCCCTGACCATAAAATGGAGCTGTTTCCCTCCATTAGAAAGCATTCTGAATTCTTTTTAAAGATGATTATAGAAAAGTAAATGACCATATAGGAGTTAAAATGGTTTTGGTGTCTTTTCGCTGGTTATTGTGCAGTAAAAGTGCGCTGTCACATCCTTGCCTGCAGTGGGGAAGTTCAGACATAGGCCTGTCTGCCACTTCTCCTTCTGTGCAGCATAACAATAAACAGCCATGTTAACTCCACAAACCATTAGCAACACATGAGGAAACATTGGTGCCTGCCTGCAGGAAATCTGACAATTATAGGAAGCTTTATCACTAAGCTCCTACAGGCTATTGCATACACCAGAGACGAAAAGACACTGCGTATTTAAAATGATATAAACCTGCTGCAGTGTTTCTTGTGGGAAAGTATTTACAAATGCGCAGCATAGTTTTCCAGAAATACTTCTGATTTTTGTGGCAAAGCATGCAGTTGAATTTCTGCTGGTTTATTGGTTATTTGGGTACACGGATAGGACATTGTTACAGCATGAAAATGTAAATAAGTTATTGCCAAACCAGAAATGGGCTGGGTGGGGAAATCAGGTGGGAATTGCACTGGGGTCTGTGGAGTCCCTTTACTTCTGGTCTCTGATCTCAAGGCTTTTTTAAAAAAAAGCACAAAAATAATTAAACTATTAAAGCAATTCTTGTGCAGCTGACTGAGCCCTCAGGTGTGTCTGCCTGCTTTGGTGGGAGAGCTGATGCATATGGTCACCAGGAGATGAGGTTACATACTGTCCTATAAAGAGAAACTGCACATATTTCCATACTGTTTGCTCTGCTACAGTGTTTTAGAGGATGTTGGTTATGTGGGGTCCTGGATTTAAGTGCAAGTGAAATGGAAGTGTTTGTAGCATAACCAAAAAGCTGCAGTCATTGCCTGAGTGTATTAAACAGAGCTTTATCTCAGTAGACTTAGTGCAGTAATACTAAAAGCCTCACTCTGGGTACTAAATGCCTTTTGGTATAAAAAGCCTAAGAATTATGAAAGTTGCCTGTGGGTGGGTTCTGTTAGTGTCGCTTTAGCTGGAGGTGGTAGCAGACTTTGTTTTCCAGATTGCCTGACAAGTTTGAGAAAGTGATTGCAGTCACTCAACTCAGCTGCCCTACGGACACGCACACCCAAAATATCCCGTACGTCATGGCCACTTTGCTCAGCTTAGTCTTTCCTCTTTAGAGCTCCCTGTAGTTAGAGTTAACTTCGTTCCAGGGGACTGATCTCTTCTCAGCTCTGCTCCACTGACATTACATTTATCCCCTTCTGTAGACTTTTTACAATTTGATATCAGGGAATTAATAAGAACAGAAATGAGAGGATTAATAGCACTTGGAAACATGGAAAAAAGCTGTACAAACATGGTCTTCAACCATACTACTCTTGTACTCCTGGGCCTTTACTTAGCAAGAGTAGATGAAGCTGCCATCCAATTTCTTACCTAGAGACTGGACTGTTTTGAGACGTTGGGCATCCTGAGTCTCACTTTCTCAACCTCCTTCCCAGCGTACATGAATTAGCGTTTATTACATATTGCTTATCCTTCCTTCGTCTTGCTAAAAGGCCTTGAAATATTCCTTATTGCTGTGCCGCTGGTGAGAGCTTGCATATCACCTCAGAGTTCATACCGCCTTGCTGTCCAGTAGCTGAGCACTGTCATCAAAGATGAAGGATGGGGAAACTTTTAGGGGCATGGCAAATTCTTCTGAGGGTACCTGTGTTAAAACGTGTCTGACACTGGAAAAATTGTCTTAGGATGGTCACTGATTTAGGGGCCAGATTTGCGATGGTGTGTAATTAACCTGTTTGGGCACACTGAGGTTCCAAGTGGGATTTATACAGCAGCATCCTTAATTATCTACCTTTGATGGTCTGTCCCAAAGTCCCAAAGTCTGTCCCAAATTCAATTCACCTCTGTCATATTCTTGTTTGGACAATGGGCAAGTCTCCTGAGCTCTGTGTGTAGCTCCTTATCCGTAAAGTAGAGCTTATATTACTGTTGTCTAGTCGAATTGTAAGCTGTCTAGGACAGGGATTGTCTTACAATGTCTATAGACAGCACTTAAGACAATAGTGCCCAGTCCTGGTTGTGACTTCTGAGAGACATGCTAATGTAGATAATGCTCCCAGCTCAGGTGAAGAATAATGCAAATGAAAGTGTCTCCTTTCTCCAGGGAAGAAAGTTGCAGAAGAGAGAATATATTAAAAAGGTAAAATGCAAATGAAGTGAGTTCACTACGACAAAATCTATAGGAAGCCAGTGAAAGAGATGATGCATTAGTATATCCTCTTGGGCAAACAAGCCTTGTTAAAAGTTGGGGGCAGCAACACAGCATACTTTTGCCTGTAAGTTTCTTTTGAGACATTATTAAATAGAGCATCCCTTGCTTAACATTTTTCGCTCTTACTTGCAAATAGAGTTGAAGTGGGGAACACACTATGTAGAAGCATCGTTCAGATGACTTCTTCTGTAAATCAAAAATGCAGAGAAGGTGCAAGGGTAGAGTTACTTGTACAGTCAATATCTCCATCAGAATTAGGGATGGTTTTGGAAGGTCAGTTCCAAGGAAACAGAATGGCTCTTTGCAGTGGGGGCTATTTTCTCTGGCTCACACAGGGCTGTTTGGACTTGCACTGCATCAGAACAGTTGATTAATTTACTCTTTAACAAAGCTGAGAAGCAAACTCAGTATTGTTAGCTTGCAGCTGATAATGGATTGTCTCCTGGGCACAAAGGGTGGGAAATGCCCTTTCCTAGAATTGAACGGAATAGGAATGTAAGTAAAATATTAATCTTATTTTTTATCTTGTTTTGCTATCTTTTATTTCTCTCCTCTCAAATATAAAAAGTGGTTAAAAACAGCTTTTAAAGTAAAAATAGTCAAAGAACTAGTGTAAAAGTGATGACTAAATGAATTAAGTTCAGAACCCACACACATGTCTCACAGTAGTTCTGGATCCAGCACACTGATACTCTACCTCACATATGTGGGAGCTTGGGGAATGCTTCATTATTAATTGAGTCATAATAATTTTTCCTTCCCCTAAATTTTTAATACTTGGCTAATTTCCAGCAAAAGTGAAAGGAGGTAGAGGCTTTCAAGATATTACACTCCTAGCAGCTTCATGAGTACAGGAGGCTGGCTAGCGAAGAGAAACATATAGTACTCTCACTGAAGGAAAAGCTCAAATGTGAATTGAAGTCTTTTTAGACACCAGAGAATTCATGCGGGAGAGATACTATGAGTGTTCTGGCTGTGGGAAATTCTCCCTTTAAACTTGTTCTTTCTGACACATCGGGATGTCTAAGTGTTGGATATGCTCCTTAAGAACCCAGGCTTCATTAGTTCTGCTGCTCATGGGACTGCATGTTTCACAATATAAGAACCTCAGAAACTACCTTTTTTATTTAAGTTTGGTCCACATAAAACACTGAAGAAAACTTGACAGCTGTGTTTTTTCATTGGCAACAAATAAGGGTGTTTCACAAAGTAAATTGAGATTACCTGAGATTATTGTAGGACTTTAAATTGATCTAAGCAAAATTCATAATCTTTTATACAGATTTTTGGTGGGTTGTTGGCCATAGAATATGCAAGAAAAGATCAGCATGCAGTCAGTGCTAAGTAGAAGAGATTGGAAGAGGCTTTCATTTGCATTTACAGATTTTGATGATGTCAGGGGCTAGACATAGCTACTGTGCGCTGGGTTCCTGTCTATTTTATATTTGAATAAAATGTGTATGTGACTGCAGGATCTTTTAGACCAGGTCTAATGATTACAGCTTGCCTTTCAAGCTGAAATACATGAAAGCTTTTATAGTCAGTATCTGAGGTCAGGGTGGAGCTGGAACTTCATTTGGAACCTTTATGGATAATCCCTCATGTTTTCCAGGCTTGGGCTGATGCCTTTCGAAGTAGCCCTGATTTAACTGGAGTAGTGCATATTTATGAAGAACTGAAGAGGAAAGGCATAGAGTTTCCGATGGCAGATCTTGATGCTCTGTCTCCAATACACACACCACAGAGGGTAAGCTGCAGTGTTGCAATTCCACGGTTATTCTCCCAAGATGTCTAAATAGTTGGATAACTACTGTTCTTTCCCATCCTGTTGCTCTGAATTTGTCTCATTTTCTCATTCTTGGAAGGACTTTTTTAATAGTGAAAGGGCATGTAGGAGAAGCATAATACAGCTGGATTTGACAGGCTGATAAGCTAATGGTATCTCCTCCCTGGAGTCAAACATGAATCTGAGAAGAGAAGAGAGTTTGGAGGAGGTTTGTACACTTGTCTTGTACCACAGAACCACCAGACAAATGCAACTAATTTGTTCAGAGAGACTCCAGCAGGATATATGATTGAGATTTACTTCTTTTGCTCAAAGGTGTGGTTGTTTCTGTTGGTGACAACACTGAACCAAGTCCTGCCTGTCTTTCAAAGGTGTACAGAGTCTGAATCTCTCACTGATCCCACAGTAATGTGAGATCTTCACACGTCTGAAAACTTAGGTCTGGAAAGTTGACAGAACTGCTAGGAAGTAACTTAATGATCACAGGTGTTCTGATTATTCACTCTGAAAACTGAAGTCAATGAATCTTTGAAGTGGTAAATGCAAGTGTTCAAGGACTGAAAGATTACAGTTCTTGTGTCAAGATTAATTAAATTCAGTATCTATGTATCACATCATCTTTTGTAAGCCTGCAACTTAATTCCTAGTCTAAAATAATTTATAATTATTTATCTTTGGCTCTTGTTTTTATTTTGCTTCTCACTTTTTTTGTAAAGGTAAATTGACTCAAATGCATGTGGGTTGGATCAAGAGATATGGGCGTGCATTTTTGTTGCAGCTGTCTGTTTATGGGCTGGCCTGCCCCTCTGTTCTCGTAACTACACTGACCTTTTCTACAAGGTGCAATTATGTTCTGTATTTGAGCATATTTGGCCTGAGGTTGCTGACAAAGCAAGTGCTGTCACAATTCAGCTTTTGAACTCCTGTCTTTCTGATGTGGCAGAGCGTTCCTGAAGTTGATCCTGCAGCAAATATGCACAATTCACAGTCTCAGCAAAGGATGAGCACCAGTTCCTATTCTTCATCTTCTCCAACGGCGTATTCTGCTCCTCAGGCCCCAGCTCTGAATGTCACTGGTCCCATCACTGCTAATTCTGAACAGGTATTGGGATGATGATTCTTTTGAGTGAGGCTCTTTTAGCAGATCAAACTAGAAACCAGTTTGCAGAGGAACTTTCATCTTAACTATTTTGACTTTGCCTCCTAGGTCTGGTTCTACTTAGTAATCTTTCCTCCTCCTGTTATACTGTAAAATCTAGGCTTTCGATTTGTATGTATGACCTCCTAATGGCAGCAGTTAAAAACCTCACAATGTGATATACCAGTCCACTCTGTGGTTGTGCAGTGGGTTAGCAGTTATTCTCATTATACCCCCTCCTTTAAAGGTACAGAATGTCTTGCAGATGCAGGAAGTCTAACAGGGAGTTAAGTCTGCATCCATAAGACCCTTGCAAATGCCCTAATAGAGGATCTTCTTTTCTCTCTGCAAAAATAAGAATTTCAGAGCCAAAGGTCCTGCTGACAATTTGTACATCTTTCCCCACGCTTGAGTGAGGTGTGCAAGGTGTACTGCAACTGAAGTCTGTTTTTAGCTGCCATTTTCAATTGCTTCCCTTCCATACAAGCATAGCACATCTGGGTTTTTTGTGATAGTGGTTCTATAAAGTTCTTTTCTTTTTCTGTTCCTTTTCTAAAATTCTCTGCTGGGTAACCTTTTACCTTTAGATTTTTTTTCCCTGCTAGAATGTCCAGAGCCTCAGATATCCAGTCAAACAGAACCAGACATATCACAAAGTCAGTTCTTGAAAATGATGTGCTTAGACCAAAAGATTATACAGTATTTTGCTGTCTTTTTACGCAAATCTAGATTGCCCGGCTGCGCAGTGAACTGGATATTGTTCGTGGGAATACAAAAGTGATGTCTGAAATGCTGACAGAAATGGTACCTGGGCAAGAGGATTCCTCAGACCTTGAGTTACTCCAGGTAACAGTTTCCTAGCAAATATGATTCTGATCCTTTCTGTGCTTGAGTTTATCTGTGGGGTGTGGTTTTTGTAGTTTACTTCACTGCCTTGGCTTGCTTTGTTTACATAATGAATGTGGGCTATGCTTGACCCTGGTTAGTCTCATCACTTGATGTTCTTCATTTGTTAAAGCTTCCAGTGACAAGGATTTCCTAACTTCCCTTGAAACTTGTTCCCGTGCTGCCTTCTCCGTGCAGCTAGAGAATTTTCCCAATGTTGAATGTAAGGTCTCCTTTACCACAGAGCAGCTTAGAATTGCTATAGGCTCTGTAAGCTCTGAGCATTTCTGCTTCTTTTACAGCCTCCATCATCACTCATACAGCGTCAAAACATTCCCAGTCATTGTGCAGGAAAAAAACACTCCATGTTTCTAGCTGTATGAAGTATTTCCAAGGTTCTGGGGATTCTTTGCCACTTAGAATCTTACATATGAGCTAACTGTCTTTCCAGAAGATGTGCTGTTGCTTCTCCTGAAGGTAGTGTCTTAAGGCAGGCGCCCAGGCGAAGCTTCATGCTGTCCGGAGGGTTAGACTGGGTAATCAGAAGGGATTTCTTTGCTGGAAAGTCTCAATCCACTGCAGCATTTATTATCTCAAGAGGGCAAATGGTATAAGTTGAGCTCATGTCTCAGGCTTCATACCTGTTTGCCTACACTGGTGGTAGCAGGGTGGCCTTTTGGCTGAGGAAAGTAATGCAGTACCACATGCAACACCGATGAGGAATACTGTGATCTAGCATTCCAGCTGCTGCCCTTAACATGCTATTTGCTTTTCCGTAGCTTCAGAAATAGGCTTCTGTTTTGACCCTCCAGCAGGGAGGATGGACTCCTACAGCCGCACATTTGGAGGAAGGCAGGGAATTGCTCTCTGTAATACATCAGAGTTTGAAATCCATCCAAAAACTGGTCTCTCCCATGCAGCGGTATTGTGTGTTTGTCTCAGAGCCATCGTGGCAGCTGATGAGAGGCATTGCAAGAGCTTTTCAGTTACTGCCCATTTGGGTCGGACTGCTCAAAACAAAAAAAGCTTCCAGGAAACCATGACAGACCAAAACAGCGTTGAACAGTTTGCTTACATTCAGAAACAACTACTAACATCTTGACAGCGTAACCTTACAGGGTAGCTTTAAGGTGAAAGAACTTGATCATAAAGTGGACTGACAGCAATGATTCTTTCTTCCAACTGGTTCCCTTCTTTGACTGATGCATCCAGAATCTGAATCACAGAGCTGGGGAGAACCCGTTTTTGATCACAAAGGATGGTTGGTCTTTTGAAAGCTGTTGAGCTGGGTGCTGCATGCAAGGACTCCTTGCTTTGAGGTTTATATAGCCCTCCTCCTTAAATAATTCCTGACATTTTCTCCAACAATCAAATGTAAACAGCTTGCTAGAGAGCCAGCTCTGAGCAGAATAGATAGGTACTGTCAGGCCTTTCAGAAAGGCAGCAAACAAACCTCTGAAATGTCACAATCTGCTTCTAAAGTGATGGGATCAAAACTGACATTGGAGAACACATTCCTCAAGCTGTTAAGGCAGCTGGATTGCACTAGGTGAAATTTATCCAGAGCTTAGGATGTCAGACCAAGGAAGGAAAACAAACACATTTTTGCTTTCATCCCGAAGGTTGTGTACCAACAAGTCATCCTTGTTTAGTGCTGAATTTTTGCTGTGAAGTGGAGCTGGGGGGGTGGGTAGAAGATGACAGAGGGACATGCTTTAGTTGAAATGTCAATGCTTATTGAAGTAAAACCGTGGGCCTAATCAGTGGCGCCATGCCATATGTCACGTTTCTTGTTGTAGTTCCTCCTCAACAGACCAGTTTTGACCTTTGGTCTTGAGGCCTTTCAGGAGTAAAGACTTGTGCTAAGTAATTGGTGATGGAAGACATGTCCTGGAAGCATGAGAATTTCTGGTTTTGGCAAACTCAAATCTAGATTTCTTGGCATGAGAGACTTCTACGCTAAATGCCCTTACTCTATATTCCTTAAATTTCTTCTGAAACTCCCCACTGCCCTTTTGCAGTCTCTTGTCTGTGGACTTGCTCAGTTGAAGGGAATGTTCAGTACTGAAGTGTGTGTGGAGTACTCATCTTTTCATGCTCCTGCTCCTTGTTTTGTGTTCACCCTCATGTTCTCGGTAGTTGGTAAGTTCTGTGTCCCCAACACTTTTTAATGAACTTTTTTTTCCCCCACTTGTTCCACCACATGCATCTTTTAGTTTTTAAGGGTGATATTGCCAAAAAGAGCAGATTGAGTTTTCCTTGAAAGGTATCTTCTAGAAAGCTGTTGTATTAATATGTTTTATTCTTAAAACAGATCACTAAAACATAGATATTTATTTTCTGAAGTGCTCAGAGTTAAAGAATCAGGATGTTGAATTGTAAATAGGCTCTCAAGGTTTTATGCCATCATCTCTTGAAGGGCATGTTTGATTAGATGTGCTTTTGGGTGACATTTAATCATGCAAAGATAGACTTGTCTTAGTGTTTCTCAGCTGGGGGATATGTTTGGCTGTGAACAGAGCTCAACTAAATTACTTATTGCTAGCTGCTTATCACGATGTGTGTGCACAATGCATTCCTCCTAGGAACTGAACCGAACCTGTAGAGCTATGCAGCAGAGAATTGTGGAGCTTATCTCACGAGTGTCCAATGAAGAAGTCACAGAGGAACTTCTGCATGTGAATGATGATTTAAATAATGTTTTCCTCCGATATGAAAGGTAGGACACCTTTTCCGTCAACTATTTACATTTGTTCTGGGTTTTCACCCAAAGTGAAAAAGTGTCAAATAGGTCAGCTGACAAGAGTTGGCCATCTGGGCCAATGGTCCAATGTAACAAAATGCAGAGAACCAAACCATTTGCAAAGTCTTTTTATGGTCTTCTATGGCAACATTCCTGTCTCAGTTGTTTCCTTTGGTACTATGAGGGTTTTTTTGGGGTGGGTTTTTTTTTTTTTTTTTTTTTTTGGTCCCAGCCACTGTGTTTTTGTGGAGCATATCCATAAAACGCAGGGCAACCTTGTGCAAAACTCTGTGAACTAGCAGAGGCTTGAGTCTGGAAGTCCCTGTTGTGCGGTGCTGTACAGATGTAGGGACTTGGGACCAAAAATAGCACAGCCACAGTTGCTAGTTCTACTTGCTAGCTTGAGCTCTGCAGAGATCCTTGTGCTGCTTCCTGGCTTAGGGAGGCTCCCATGAGCTCTCTCTGTCTTCTGATCTCTGAGCTTTCTAGTTCTAGTACTGGTGCAAGGGGAGCTGTCTGAGGTGGGCGTGACCTTCATGCATGTAAAGGGTTTTGTTTTTAAGTAACACTTTAAATCTTGAAAAAAGCTTGTCTTGCACAGACCTCAGGTTTTGAAGAGTTGGTTGGCGGGAATCATCCCCAGGGGTGGGACGTGGGTCATAGGACTTCCGACATGTTAGACAAAGGCGCCGTCAGCCGCATCTGCTGCCGTAGGTGACACGTGATACAGCAGTCTTGGGAAAGTTTAATCTTCCCCTTAATGACAGGCCTGGGGAGTGAGGCACTAAAGAGTACCCTTTGTTCCTTGCTCTTAGCGCAGGGCTTTGTTTCTCAAGCCTTTAAAAATAAATTAGACTCTAGATCTGTGAATCTGTGCTGTCACAGCAAAGGCTGGAAAGAAGACTCAGTGGCCTCGATTTTGTCTTTGATTTAGTCGTTCAGAGGAGATCGGGGCAAACTTTGAAACAAATGCTGGCTTTTTATGTGAAATGGTATGTGTTTCATGCACGAGCGTGATTCTGCAGGTGGCAGAGTGTAACTGTCACTAAGGCTTAGTCTGGTAACCCTTAATATTTTTTCTATTTTCCCCATCTGTGACTTTGCTGACTGGGGCTAATGTATTTGTAGTCATTATACACTGAAAGGTGAGCTGAGTGACGTTAGCGAGCTATTTGTGGCAGAATAGCTGCACTGGTCTGAGCGTTTCAATAAATTCTAGTTCCTCCTCTGCTATTCCAAAAGACCCACATTCATCACGCTGATTTCTAGTATGGGTACAGAGCTCTGTCAGTCACTCAAGCAGGAGCTCTGGCCTTCACTGTGAAGCCTTGGATGTAAACGAATGTGTGGTGAGAATTTTGTAGCCTTTGGGTGAGAAATATGAGGTGGGAGGTGTCTTAGGTTTCCAGCTAAGGGAGCTGGATTTCCAGTAATAGTAGACACCCACAGGTTCCTAAAATTGAAATTTGGGCCTGAATTTGTTTTTGCTGCCTTTTAAGTCTGCATTTTCCTCTGTTACATTAAGAAAACATTTTAGTTTACTTGAGATTCCCTGTTGTATTTTGTCTATCTGGGAGAAAACCCACAGGATTATACGAATGTTACGGGCTTTTTACTGAAAAGAGAGGCTACATGTGAAACTACTTTTAAATGAGGAAAAACTCTAGCCTCAGAGAAATCATGGTGTTTTTCCTGGTAAGGAAGGAGATTGGACTGGCCTCAGAGAGGCCTTGGGAGGAGGTAGTTCCCCCTGCTCTTTTGAGTTTATGAAAGCTGGGCTTAGGTTTGCGGCCCCAGATGCACAACTGGTTGGGGAAGGAGTAGAGAAGAGACCAGATCTTGACTAGCCAGACTTCGTCCCCTAAGAAGTATGAGGATTTTTATCCAACATCGTTACTTTTCGTTCTTCAAAAGTACCAAGCTATTTGAACATAGGCTCTGACAATCTTTGAGCTGACCCAGAATGTTTTAAGAAATGAATCTGCTAAGCATTGTTTCTCTTACTGCCTGGGTAAGGCTCTGCTAGCATGCATATGGCTTCTAATTTACATGTATTGCAGCAAGAGGGAGCTGTTAAGTGGGAGTAAGACTTGCTGCGGTGCTCAGTTTATTTAGCTGGGAGCATCAATCTTGCTGCAGTTCCTCCTGTCCCTTGGCTAACAGAATAGGCTATCATGAAGCACTTAATGAAAAAAAAAGGCAAAGACAAATCCTATTTTTCAGGCACGTGTGTGCTGCAAGATCAGATTAGTCAACTTAATATCCACATTTGCTAAGAATGCAATTTCTGCAACTATACTCCCTTTGTACTGGCTTGGAGTTAAAGCTTTCAGGGTTCCCTCTTGAACCAACAAAAACTAAGTTCAGTGGCAAGCATGATTTTGTTATAAACTTGTGTTTTTCATTGTTCATTGGTGGCTTTGATAGTCTATGTTGGGGGTTTTTTTTGTTTTTTTTCTAAGCAGATTTGAACGATACAGATCGGGACGTTCAACACAAAATGCCAGCAATGGAGTAAGTACCTAACTCCATTTATTATATCAGCAACTACACCATACTAGCCATACTGATACCACTGGTATCAGACTTTTTATCTGTCCAGCCCTATGTCCTGCCTGTAGTGGCTAATAGTGGATACCAAGAAAAGTGCATAAGAATGTGGCAAACCTCAGATGACAACTTCTAGCTCGGGAAGATGCTACACTAAAACATCTCTGTGTTTACAATCCCTGATGGATTTTTTTTTCCTCTGTTAACTTTTTTGATTGCTTTTGCATCCATGCAGACTTTAGACATTCACAATGTCCTTAAGCAGTGAGTTCCACAGTTTCACTAAACTTTTTTACATATTTATGTGAGTATGTATATATAATAAATAATTTGTTTACATTTTAACAAGTCACTTAATGATTTTTATCTGATGCACTTAATCCTTCTTCACTGTGTCTTACCATACTGCTGTTCCGATTTATTTTCTTCATGCCACTCATAATTTTAGGAACCTCTCTGATCTCCTTTTTCAGCAGCCCATTTCCAAGCTGAAGAGTTACAGTTCTAATTATTCTTTCAATGAAAACTATATTATAGTTCTTTTATAGTATTCAAGATCTGAGTTCATGAGTTTTTTTGGTGACTGACCCATTTTATTTTGCAGTCTCACCATTGTATTCAAGAGACTGGTTCATTTGGCAGTGTGCAAGAGAGATCTTTTTAGGAAGCACCCATTATTTTTTGGTGTTTAATGTTGCACTGCAAGAAGAAATCTCTGGCATGTGTAAACTTGCTGTGTTTTTTGTGTCCCAACAGGTACTGAATGAGGTGACAGAAGATAACTTAATAGATTTGGGTCCTGGCTCTCCAGCTGTAGTGAGCCCAATGGTCGGAAACTCAGCACCCCCGTCTTCACTTTCTTCACAGCTTGCAGGGCTTGGTGAGTACCTGATCTAAACAGTGCTGATGAACATGAGGCTGCAAGGCATGGACTTCTTCAAGCCTGACCAGTCTGTGGGCCTTGAACAGTGTGCAGGGGCTGCTAGATAATCCAGGTGTGTGATTGTGGGAGCAAGTCTGAGTGGTTGCTGTGACCAGCCTGAACACCAAGTGCAAGCTCTTATCACAGTGGACTGTTGGGATTTATGAGGAGCCATTTTTCACTTGTGGGTCAGGAATTTTCTGCTTGCTTTGGCTCTCTACTACATGATTAATGTTGCCATGTAGCCTTCCGAAGGTTTGGGTACACGGCTTACAGGATTAGGAGGACCTTCCCACTCCCTGGCACTGTAGCAATCTGTAATTGGGAACCAGCCTGAGACACAGGCAGGGATTTATTAACCGAAGGGGAGACTGAAGGAAAGGGTGCAGGTTCTTGTTCATGGTAAACCTTGTGCTACTACTTTTCTTTCTGCTTAGATATAGCTCTCCATGAAATCAATCTGGTAAATGTTCTTGATTCCCCTTCTACAAATAATACTGGAAATCTTTGGATGAAAGGCTGTATGAAACTGTTAGGTGTTTTACATGAAAGCAAACCAAAGACTGCTTGATAAATCACTTGATTTGACTGAAGGTTCTCCACCTCCTCCAGCACTGTGCCCGTATCATATCACTTGATTTGAAACTGTTGGTTTCTCAGTCAATAGCTGAGAGACAACATTGTGGAGAAGACTAGTATCCATGCCCAAAATTTTGGACCATATTAGTCAATAGTAAATATCTCGGGATGAGATAGGCAGCAGGTGCACACCAATTCCAAAATGCTGGCTTCTTGATGAGGAGTACTTACGGTGTGGTGCTTCCAGGAGGAATAAGACAATCTCTACATTTGTCTTTTAAGAAATGCATGCTTAGCAGCCTCCAGCCTCTTCTGAACAGAGCTGTGCTCAGTGCTGCAGCTATTAACTAGACGATATCTGTAGCTGTCCTGTATTGTTAATTACTTCCTCTGTAACGAACGTATGGTGGTGCCTGCATATGGTTTGCTATTTCATTGGTTTGCTTTTTTTGCCTCTGGATGCAGACTTGGGTACAAACAGCGTCAGTGGCACACTCAGCTCTCTACAGCACTGTAATCCTCGTGATGACTTCGACATGTTTGCACAGACAAGAGGCAGTTCCTTGGCTGAGCAGCGAAAGAAGTATGTTGGAGTTTGTCTTTAGTGCTGTTTGACTCCCAGCATTGCTTTTTTCTAGGGGCATAAATCTGAAACTTCTTGACTTCATTCCAGACTGAAAAAGTAGTTTTGGTGTATGTTTTTGTGCTTTTAATCCAGTCCCTATCCTGTTGGTCATTATTAGTATGAACAAGTGGAGAAGTTCCTGCTGCTGGGCAGAGCAGACTGTCTGAGTTATGTTATTTCACTGTCTTAGTTAATGAGCTCACTGGAAACTTGGAAATGAACTTGCTTTTACTTCCACAGATGCTTCCTCTCAGAAAGGCTTGACATCCCATCCACCCGACTGGTGCTTGAGACATAGGAGCATAAGTGTCCTTCACCTGAAGGTCATGGATATACTTTGGTGACTGAATTACTGTCATCAAGGGCTTGGAAACAGAATTACCATCCAGTTAAACTCTCCCTTTGGCCCAGACTCTCGCAGGCTGTCAAGGCAGCGTAGATTGCCCGGCTGCCATGCTATCCCTAATTTGTTTATATGCATAGGGCTTGCATCTCTAGAGCTGCAAATCTGGCACTTTCAGGGGCATTTAACAGATGAAATTATTTTAATGTAAAATAAGCCTGTTCACTTATTTAAAAATCCTTTGATCCCTGTCAAGTGATATTCAGTAAAAGACACACTCAGGTATATTTCTTTCATATATTATTTCTTGCCTCCTTCTGGTTTCAGATTCTAGAGGAGGTAGTGGCTACCAACAGTCAGAACATCATCAATATCTTGCCTCAAACTAAGAAGTGTTGTTAAATATTTTAGCTCGAACCTTAGCAGATTATCAAAAACTCACCAGCTCTGGAAAACTTGAGCCAGCAAATTTATTAGGATCTTTTATTTGCAGTTATCAATATAGCTATTGGTACTGCCTCAAGTGTAGTATCAGTGTTGAGAAGACGTGCTCTGCTGTAGAGGCGTACATTACCACTGGAGATTTCAGGCTGAGCACCCTAATGTATAGTCAGAAAGGAGATGCATTGCAGAGAGATCTAATGGAGGTCCCTCTGTCTGTTGTGCTAAATGAAGCACAAAACTTGTCTTCCCACGCTGCACCTCTATCTTCTTCTGTGAGCTAATGGAACAAGTAGCACACATCAGTCCATGATTTCACGAGGGAGGCTTGCTATATCTTACTTGGATTGTACGCTGTATAAATGGAGCATCAGTAAAGATGCAAGTGTGACTTTGCGCGGTATGTAGGTGAGAGCCTCTGGGTGCTGTGCTCAGAGCTTGGGAGAAACCAGCACGCTGGGGGGGAATGCGCTCCTCCCACTCAGACATGCAGCTGAATTTATGAGCAGGTGTCAGCATCTGCTTCAGCTCATGGTTCACCATTGTGCTCTGAGAAATTATGCTATTGCCTCTGTCACCTGACTGCTGCATGCCCCTTTTGCAATTTAAGAAGTTTTTTTACACATCCAACCCCTGTAAATGGTGCATTTCTTTGTATGCTTTGCTGTAGTTGCTTAGTTATGTTTCATCTGTCTTTGAGTCTCCCTGTGCCTCCCCTCATGCACACGTCAAATTCAGGCTTCCAAATGTCATCTTCAGAGCTTTGCAAAACGTATTCCTTAATCAGGCCTCTTTTCATAGTCCCCTGGAAACTCTTGGACATGCTTATGATGCCTCGTAACCTGTTTGCCAGTCTTACTCTTTTTGCTTCAACATGCTCACTGAAACTGATGGATGGTCTTTATACAGAGCGTACTCCTCTTCTTGGAATACACTTAGTACATTTGAAGTCTTCTTAAGAAAAAGAATGTGCTTTCTGATTTCCAGGGGGGTAAATCAGAGTAGCAAGCGTGTTCTGCATGGGTGACTGCTGGACTTCCTTCTAGTTTTGTGGTTTGTTCCTTTCTTTCAGCGTGACGTATGAGGATCCACAGGCTGTCAAAGGACTAGCATCTGCCCTGGATGTTCGAAAACAGAACACAGGAGGGGTAGGTCACTGCTCTGTGTTTTGTTATCTGAAGCCCTGTGTGGAATCCACGCTGTAGGCAGCTGCTTTGACCTAGACTTCTTATTCTGTATTCCAGTGACATGCTAGTACTGGCTATTTTGAAATTGATATCTAGGAGCAAGTACTTGCTCAGTAATGATCTCTAGAGAGCTGCTACTTAGCACACCAGCCTAAAAGACTTCAAAATCATAGTGGGTAAATTCTCCTGTGTTCTTGCAGCTTGCCTGGGGGGTCTGGCTCTTTGACTGGAATCACTGCTGAAAAGAATAAGTGGGGAACGTCTTGTGAACACTGGTGTGCATTTGTTTGGTTTGGTTTTGCTTATGAAAATTGGTGCATTCTTAATCTACTAGACTTTGCTCTGAGTGTACGGATACACAAGCAAGTTACAGGGGGAGAAATTATGTAGACTTTTAATGTTTTATGTGCCTTGCCATAAGTGCCCCTGCATGCAGTCTGTTCTGTCTGTCCCAGGGCAGGCTCCTGCTATCTTGTGTGGGCAGAAGAGGCTCGTGCACTGCCACCTCACAGCAGCTGATGCTAGAAACATGTTTGAGAGAGTGAGGTTGGCCAGCTTTGTCTGCATACCTTGGTGAAGGCAGAAGTTAAAAGAGCTTTCAGATCGTCCCTCAACCCCTTTCTACCCCTAGTTTTTTAAAACTGTCCTGCTCTTTAGTACTCAGCTGTGTGTAAGCTTTTAGATGACTAAGTTCAGAGCCTTTTCCTAGTCTAATTTTGGTCTGTACTGACCACTAGGGAGCATGGCAGAGCCAGTGTAGCATGGGAGAGCTAGTACAGCATGCACACGGCTCCCTCTATGGAGAATTGCCTCCCCATTCCTTGGCTGATCCCTCCCTGGTTCTTTCATAAGTTGAAATGGGAGTGCTCAGGGCAGCTGGCATGCCTGGCAGCTTGTGCTCTGAGCCAGGGAGAATTTGCTTTTGGAGCCAGCTGGGGTCAGATCATAGCTGCCTGCCTGCCTGCCTGGGCCATAGTTCAGTGGTAGCAGGGCTTCAGCAATGATTTTTTAAGGAGCATCCTCCCACCCTGCAAATCTGTCTGCTTGTTCCTATCCTTCTGCAAAAAAGGGTTATTTATAACCCAGATCATCCCCATGACCAGTTTCAAGCTTGGCCCCACAAAAACTCATGCCAGCAGTACTTACTGGGGTAAGAAAAAGGGGAAGCATGGGGAGGCAGGGGCAGGAGTATATGAAGGGGGGTGAAAGAGGAATTTCTGAAGCCAGTGTGACAACCCAAGCCCCCAGTATCACTGAGCTGTGTTATTGTCAGGACCTGGGAAAGGATTTGAGATTCTGCTCTTTGTTCCTGACTAACCAAATGCAAGGGGCTTGCATTTAGCTACTGGTCAAGGGGGCTATATTCCCTTGGTGGCCACAGGGTCATGTCCTTATTTATTAACGCTTTTGTTCTCAGCCAATTCTGCTTGAGGCACCAATGAGATGTGTCATTCACACCAGCAAAGCTGCTGCTCTGCCTGAAGTGGTGTCAGTTCAAAGGGCTGTGTCTGAGCTAATCTTGACGGTCAAAGTTTTTTGGGGCAAACACTTTATGGGTTGTGGAACTTTGGGCTCTGAGATGTTGTAGAGACTTTCAGCCTCTTTTCAAAGGTCCTGATGATTGTATCAAGTAATCAGAATAGCTTGTTTTGAAATGCAGTCTTTTGGAATTGGTAAACACTACTTTTTGTCAAGTGTTATGAGGCTTGTGGCTGTCTCTTCTTAAAGGAAATAAAAATTAAACTCTCCTAAAGTTACCAGCCCCAGCATGTGTAGCAAAAAACTGGCAGTGCTCAGTAAACGAAAGACATGCGTTAATTTGGGTAGAGAACTAATTTAAGAATAGCTCTAGGGAGGAGCCAGAAGCTTCACAACACATTCTTCACACACATCTTGTTCCAGCACAGTTGTCCAGTGGTAAAATTCAGCACATCCGACATTTCTAATGTAGTCATTCTCAGAATGGTCTGTAGAGAGATGGCTGATCACGTGGCATTAGCTGTCTTTTAATATGATTTAGCAGCTGGAAACAAGAGGAGCTAAAAATACAGTTTTCTTAATATTGCTTTTCCATGTTGGGAATTGCTTTTGCTGCCACAGAGTTGTTGCATGATCACAACTGGGAGGAGAGGTGTCCAAGAAACAATTCTCTGGTGTTACACAGATAGTAGATGAAGTTGGAGTGATTTTTGCCCCTGTTTTTTTCTCAGCACAAGTACTGAAATGAGGCATAAAAGATTACAGCTGATTCTCATTATCTGTGGTAATGGGGACAGGAGAGGTATCCCATGTATACGGGTATCTGGGTAAACACATCAGGGGCTTTCTGCTGAGCTAGCCTAGTTCTGGCAGGGCCGATGGGCTGGAACCACTGTGCTCTGCCGGTCCCAAGCAAGCCACTCCAGAGCTAGAAATTACTCTGCTTCTGGGCCCTGGCTCAGAGATGAGATGCTGAAGGACAAGAAGCCATCTTGAGAGTCTTTGTGTTGCTGTGCCATGCGGTCTGCAACCTGCAACCTGCTCAGCATTGCAGTTGGATGCATCAGCGGTCCTTTTAACCTCTGCCGCTTTTAGAGAGGGGCAGTTTGAAAGACTGCCAGAAGACTGCAGCAAACTGCCATTACTTACCCTCCTGCTCAGCGCCATCATTAGAGCTGTCGTACTGCTAGTTTTTGGGGCAGAGTCTGTCTGCTGAGATCAAGGAGGTAAGTAGGGCGTGCTGCAACTCACAGCTTCATAAGCAAGGGAAACTCCAGAGCGCATAATGTAAGGGTATCCATTAAAGTCTGACTGATTTTTAGTAGCTTGTATAGCCTACATTTTTTCTTCTTCTAAGAAGATGTCAAACATCAGCCTCAGTATTAGTGTTTTTGTTTTTTTTTTTTTAATATCACTATTATGGAGGAAGTGCTAAAATTCTGTGAACTGTCTGTAGGAAGTGCAGAGGTCGGGGTGAGGTCTGTCCCTCCACAGACAGAACTGACAAGCAGCAGAGGGGGATACAGCTGCTGCCAGAAGCTACTGCAGGCAACTCTGTGTGTGTATGTGTATGTGAAGTTTTTAACTTGATGCTGTTACATTACTTTATCACGGGTTGTTGCTGTGGTTTCTCTCTTTATGGACCTTTCTGTTCTCAACACAGAGGAGAGGTAAAGGTGGGAACTCAGACATGGAGCCCATAGACAAGTGGCTAATTACACAAGGAATGGTGAGGACTTCACCAGTGAAGCGATTCCTACTGCCCACCCCAGTCCCTTTACCTAGAATAACTATCCTCCATTCACCTCTTGTCCTGCCCTACTGAACCACTTAAATCAGACAGTACAAGGAATTATTTCCCATCTACATCATTACCTGGGGCAAAGGGAAAGATTTGCACTGATTTCTGGTTTATACAACACAAAGGCCTGTAACCAACTGAATCATTTGTAGGATCCTGCATCACCTTCAGAAGAGGCCTGGGGATCCAATTGGTTCCTTATACTGTCTTGATTTATTTATGCAGTATCCACTTTTCGAGGGATAAACACAAGTCTCACGGATCTTGTTCATAAAGAGGACAATTTCTACACGACTTTAAAGCAGCCTTTTCTGGTAGTGCTTAACTTCGTGGACTGGAATAAACATATGGAAGTTGTAGGATCATACCTAATTGAATTGAGTCATGCAGGGATAATTCTTTATGAAAAGAAGGGAATTGGATAACTGCTACCCAGATTGACATCTTCTACCCCGCTGGCATTAGGATTCAGACTCCAAAACGTACAACAGTGTTTCTGGCTTTAAGGATTTAATTCCCATGTCTAGTGATGCCAGGGCTCTGATAAAATCAAGCTTCTGAAGATCCCTGAATCAGTGCACATTTTGACCTTGTTCGAAGTTGTCCTTCATCAACATGGTTGCAGAGAGAAGTTCAAAAGCGTGCTTTTAAGTGCAGAAGTCAGAAGTAGATAAAAAATATCTTCAGCTATGCCTTAAAGCCAAGTTCTAAGACCAATTTTGTATTTTTGGATGACATAACCCATCACTTTAAGTGTTTGAGATTAGTACCAGTAATGTGACCTAACTGTACAAAGTCCTTCTGAGGCAGTCCTGACTGCAGCTGAGTTCAGAAGGGTGCAGTGCAGAACTCACTTTGGGCTGGGGTGTGCTTGCAGTCCAGCATGTGGGGC